TAAAAGACTGAGGACTTTAGTTTTAGCAGCTGGAAATAATGAGAAAAACTGTGTCATCAATTCAGATACACAGATAATAAAAATAAAATACAGGATCACTTCTAAAGATACCTGGAAATTAAAAATAACTTTTTTCGACACCAGTTTTTTAGAATTCTGGGTGACATCTTCCTCCCCAGGTCACGACCTTCTTCTTTCCTTTGTTTTCTTAGTTTTAGTAAAATATGAATATCAGATGGAGGAGGATCAAAACCTGCTGCAAAACTTTGATCATTTTAACATTTTTCCATTGAAGTTTGGTTAAAATGTTCTGAAGGGTTGAAGAACCCGATCAAATAAAACAGAGAGACGTGTCTTAATTCTGTTTATTTATATATTTTTTTTAAACACCGTTCAAACGACAGCATCTTTCCTAAAACGTCTGTAACGACCTCTGCGTATCCTCTCCTCGGTGACCGAGCCGTAGTCGTAGTTCAAGTCTTCTCTCAGATCAACACATTTCACCACACCACAGTCACACTTGACCTTTTCTGGTTAAATAAACATCTTCATCCATTCACACTCAGACTCCCGTCTAGTGTTGCCACGCACCGACTCCCGCAGCTGTAAATACGAGGACACACACGGAGACACTTAATAAGTAATGGGAAGTTGTGCTGCTCTGCACCAGCTGTTGGACACCGTCACTGCAGAACAGCCGTGGTATGCAATTATTTTATGTGAGTAGCGGTACTGCAGCTGTCAGTCCAGGTACCATTACACCACCTCACAGTTTCTGGTTGAATTCACATTTGGGAAAAATGTCCAAGTGGGGCAGAGAGACATTTGCAAATGTCGTGATTTAGAAACATCGGCGTTGTCTGTTATAAGGGTTACGGACCACTACGGTGGACAGACGAGGCGGTCACACCTCACAGAGTCACTTTCTATGTTCTATTTATCTGCTTTCGTCTGTTTGTTTCTATGTCGACGACAGTGTCAGTTTGAAGAGTTTTCGTTCAAGACATTGTTAATATTTTTCTTTTTCTCCGAGTCTGAAAAAGTCTTGTGGTAATGAGAGGAAAACAAACCCGACTGTTAGCATTTCATCTGACTGTGGTTTGAGTCGAGCTCACACCTACACAGCACGTCAACCAATTTCCCACAAGCTGTTCCACCGATTTACTGCTTCCTTCCAGTTCAGTGCGTATTCATCGAAACCAAACATGCAAAAAGACATCGGTCTCCGTATCTGAGCTCGGTATCGACGGTGAGTCATGTGGCGTCACTCCTTACTTTCTCTTTGAGCATCAAATAAAATAACAAAGATGGCCCGCTTTAACTCTACACCATGTCCTGGTGTGTCCTGCTTTTCTCATTCAAAAGGAGATATTTATATCATCGTGCAGCGACTATCCCTCTATAACACAGCATATATAATGGATGAAGGCCTTCCAGTCTCTGCAGAAAATCTTGTTGGAGGAAAAAAAAAGACAGACAGAGAGAGAGAGAGAAAATCGAGAAAGGAGCAGCAGTACAGACCTGGTCTGTTGTAATCCAGTTAAAAAAAGATTGATGTCCACACTCAGATGTGAGCGTCACTTAATGATGCAGCAACACCTGTTTTTCTAATGGCCATTCACAGACTTTGTTTACAAAGACCACGTACAAAGGCCAATGGAGCGATCGGATTGTAGAAAGTACGTACAAAGGCCAATGGAGCGATCGGACTGTAGAAAGTCTTCAGCGAGCTCTACGTTCAGTCATCGGATTTTGAACCAGCCAATCATGATGATGGCAAATTAATAAAGAAGACTGAAACAGGCACGTCCATTTTTGTCAAAGCCTGCTATTGGCATAGGCCACATAGGTAGTTGCCTAGGGCGCCACCTGCTGGAGGGGGACAGCTGTAAATCCTACAAATAAAAAAATCTCTCTTGTAATTATTATGATTTATTTCTTGTCCTGTCATTCATACGGTGTTAAAACTCAGCAACCAGTTCCCTCTTTATGTCACATCGCAGGAACGGAACAACTTAAGTCGAGGACCCCTTGTGGTCATAAATTAAAGTTGCTACCAGCTGTTGTTTATCTGTTTCGCCAATATATAGATATGCTTATATTTAAGAATGTTAATTTGTCAAAATTAATGGTCAGTTTCTCGTAATTATTCGTGATCAATCCACAGCTAGCCTGTCAATAATCAGATTATTTTATCATTTTTCAGTAGTTTGATAAGAAACCAAACCATAATGCAGGCCGTGGGCGCCCAGGGCCTGGAGGCAGCTGTCATTGTTGTAGGACAACCTTCCAAAGACATAAATAAAGTCCTGCGTGTCTCCGGAGATCTTTTTGAAAGAGCTGCTGAGCAGCGGCTCCTCGGTGACGTCCCAGCGTGAAACCCTGCAGGTGCAGCGGCAGCTCCTCCAGATGTTTAGTCACGAGGCCCAGATGGGCAGAGCAGATAAACATCAGATGTCGACAGAAAGTGGGAGTTGGAGGAAAATCGACAGAGTCCTCCCTGTCTGGCCACCACGTTCCCCCCGCTGCCGCGTTCTCTCCTCCGACACTGATGGCTGACGGAGCTAAACGTTTTACTCCAGTCAACAGTTGCCCTAATGTGGGGTATTAATCATTTCCACAGAACACATTTTAAATACTCTCTTGAATGGAGTTTGTCTAGACTTCACCAAACAAATACGCCTTTTTTCCTCCGTTTGTGTTCCTTTTAACATGGCTGAGTGGGGTCCATTAATCTAACCTAATCACTGCTAAAATCTGCCGCTGCCCATTCTACAACAAATACATCAGATGTGCAGCCGTGGACGGCCTATGAAGCCATTTCCACAGTTGGCAGTGATCACCAGAGGGAACCGTTCATGGAGGAGAAGAACGGGGGGCGGTTGGGGGGGGGGGGTCTGTACGTGAGGAGACGTCGATGTTCGCGGTCGGTTCACGGTTTCATCAGTGCGTTCGAAGGAAGTATTCAGTAAGGATTCAAAGAAGTGATACCTTGAAACATTGATGACAGTCTGTACTTCAAGAGTCTTTGCTGACTGTAGTATTTTCTTCTTACGTCCTTTCTCGGTTCCTTCACTTATTCATTCATTCCTTTTTGTTAAAGGCTAAAAAGGCTAACATGCTTTTAGCCTTTTCTACGTCATCTATTGGGGAAATACAGGCATTGAAGGGAGAATGATAATCTGAATTAATAATATATTTTGAACAAGTTTGACGGGGCTGGATTAAAAAGCCAAATGGGCTGCATCTGGGCCCCGGGCCATAGTTTGCCCATGTTTGGACTAGAGGGAGAAAAAAAAAATTGAAAAAAAATTCGGCTGAGGAGGAGTGAAATGATGTAGGCACATCGTTGTCAGGGTTTCTTTTCAGTTAAGAATCTGCTGCATGACACATGAGCAACATCTCAGTCATTCTTTCATCACACCCACAACCACTGCTAGCTAACAAGCTACTGTAGCGGCTACGGCCGCAAAACAAATCCCTAATGTGTGAAGACAAACACGCAGTACGTATAAGGGAAAACGGACACTTCGTCTCCAGCTCCAGCTCTTTAATCCACACTCTTATTTCCTCTCATTCATTGTCACTTCAGCTCCAGACGTTTCTAACCAGACGTGTCTCCTATTATAACATCCTGTCATCTCTAAAATTTCCCACAATGACATGCATCCTGCTAATAAGTCCAGCGGAGCGCAGCTAACAGTGTCTGACAGTGACGTCCAGACACGACAGGGAACTGCTGTTTTGGCTCTTTTCGCTTCAGCAGAGGAGAAACTTAGGCCCAAAAGGCTGATGTGATACAGTGAGGAATGAAGTCCTCAGAAGAGAGCACGACTCCCCCTTCAGGTCACACTGTCGCTTTTTGTTTTTGTTTTTAAATAGAAAGAAAAGACCTTACGATGAGGTGTCCAGGCAGGGTGACATGGGCGGAGGCGAGGACCGGGCAAGGTGTTTGACGGAAGGATAACCTGAAGAGGGTTTACAAGATGACAGCAGTGAGATCTGCTATGATGATAAATGATGTCACTGATGTCACTGATGTCACTGATGTCACTAAGCCGGAGGTGCCGGAGTTCAAAACACTGAGACTTTCTCAGGGAAGGAGTGACCAGAACTGGACTGAATTATAATTGAATATATCAAAGGGACGGTACGATGGAGCAGCGTGAAAATAAAGTCAGAGAGGCCGGGGTTAGAGGGTTTGGACA